CTATGTATCTAGACATAATTATATATCTAGATGCATAACAAAGTCTATGTATCTATAAATGTCAAAACGTCTTATAATTTGAAATAGAGGGAGTAGATAACAAAAAAAAAATACTATTGTCATTGGGGCCTTAACTCTTTTCCTGCACTAGGCCACTGAAAGGTCAGGACCGGTCATGGGAACATGGCATATAATGAATCAGGATATATTGATTGCTATTACTTACATGCTTGAACTTAGCAAACATATATAACACTTACCTAGCTAGTCTGTATTGCTGCTAAATATTGTAACCTTAAGTATCAAAAGTAATAAGTTTTTTGTGCAAGGTTCCTTAACAACTAGACAAAAACCTTTGCATATCTTTGAGAGTAAAGGTAAGTATAGACCTATATATTTGTAGGACTTGAATAAAATAGTTACCCTGACATATTAGGTCGGAGAAAGTCCTTGTGAGATTGGGTGTTCTAGTATCTCCTGGTGGCAATCCCCTTCGTAACGTTACCTCATCAGTTTACCCAATCTCATGAGTATTATCAACACACCCATAATAAGGCTAAAATCCATTATTAAGCAATTGATCTTTCATATGAATCATATGATTAAAAATCGATAATTTTTCCTACATGCGTGACAATACACACAGTAGCTTAAAAACGCATAGAAAAAAATATGTACACGGAAAAATCCTAACCCGTACGCCGCATCTGCACCACACCTCTCACGATGCATGCAGGTCCCTCACTCTCTCCTTTCATGCCCTCCCTCTGCGAAATAAGTACGATTCTTTAATCCTGCCTCCTCTTCATCGACCAAGCTCTCCCTCGCTAGCCAAATCCATGGCGCAGCCATCGCCTGGATCCGCCGGAGGAGCCGATCTGCGATCCCTTCATCTCCCCCATGCAACCCCCTTCTCGATCCCTCCCCTTCTTCACCCGGCCGGATCTGGCCCTCCCTCTCTCCGGATCATGCCATGCATGACGCCCTCTTATCCTTCGAGCCACAGCCAGCGACGGAGCCCTCCCGAGCATGGTGGATCTAGAGCCCCTTCTCGGCCCGACGTCCGGATCTGCGGCTCAAGCGCAACCACATCAGGCGATTCTGACTCAAGTGCAGCCTCCTTCCAAATGGCCGAGGTGAGCCCTTTGCCACGATAAGCACCCACAACACAAGCCGGTATGCATGTTCCTTCTCTTCCCTTTTGTGCAAATTTGAGAACGAACCCTAATTTAAGCTATTTGGTTATGTGTATTTGAAATGTCTGATCTAATCCCATGTGTATGCCGTAGGATGTGGATTGAATTTTGTTAATATAACTAGTGCGATTTTTTTACGAGCAATACATGTAAGATTACTCTGTTATCTAATCCCATATGCCGAGGATGTGGATTGAATTTTGTTAATAAGGAAGATGAAAGTGAAAGTGACATGTAAGATTACTCTGTGCACTTCATTTTTTGCTCTTAGTTGATGTTCATGCTGTTTTGTCTTCTCTATTTTAAGTGCCTACTAGGTGCAATATTAAATTATTTTTGTAGTCAACAATCTATAGGCAATGATAGAGCACACTATGTGATTGTAGTCAACAAAGATGGTATTGGTGAACCAAACCCAGGACATACTAGGCATTCAGAATTTGCCAATATGAGATGACCCAAATGATTTAAGTGAACATCTCTATCTTGAGTTGGTAGTTGCTATCGGACACTATCTTGAGTTGGTAGCATCTGAATTTAATATCTTGGCCTTGATCCGGCTTTGAAAGCACAAGCATGTTGGCACAAGCAAAGCAATTCGACCACTAGAAATGTTTGTACTTATTTCAGTTTGTGGGTTGGTGATTCCATGCCTTTAAGTGCCGATGAAGGATAAGACACAGTGAATTTATATGATGACTAACAATATTTAGTAAAAGTTAATATTTCTATGTCATCATGGTTGTGTTAGAATTAAATTAAAAAGATCTAGAGATCTGGTTGAGTAGAATTGATACAGCTATCTTGAAAATATTGATGTCTTATTTCTTATAATTTGCTTTTTGTGAAAGCTCTAAAATAGCAGTCATGTATACATACATATTGAATTGCTTCTATTCGATGATCTGATTGAGTGCGTTCAACAATGTCTTATTCTTGATTAATAATGGTGATGGAGGCCGAGTGACAGCTTTTTCCAAAGCAAATGTGCTAATATATTTGCACCTCATCAAGATGCTTCGCTTTCTTTTATACATATTTTGAATTGCTTTGTGTATTATTTGAACGAAATGGTGATGGAGTTACGTTCAACTTCAAGCCCAATATTACCTCCATTCTTGATTAAAATATGGTGATGGAGTCTTGAGTTTAACTTCTTTCACGGAAGCCACGCGTAATTCTTTGACTCTTTCAAATGCTTTTTTCTGTGGGGTCCATCGGTAATGCGTGTTTTCTCGTTTTTTTATATGATAGCGGTCCCTTTAGTCTTGATTGTGTATTATTTATTTTTGTTGGTCATGCCGAAAATTACTTGTATGGAAAATATATATTTTAATATTATGTTGCTACGTGTTTTAAAATAAAAATTTTTGTGCGTTTAATCATTTTTTCGTACTCAAATATTATCTGAATCTTTTCACTGGACCGACGAGGAAAAAAACGTGTTTCCGGCGGCCACATGGAAAATTAGTTTTAATCTAAGCGAAAACAATTTTTATTCAATTGTTTCTAACAGTGAACCCACGAGAAAAATTTGATTTTTCGGGGTATTTTTCTTACGATACACCGTACGTAAAATATTTTTCTCGACGGTATTATTCGTGATTTTTTCGTGTGTTTTCGCACATACAGAAAAAAACGAGATTCCAGTAGTTCACCCATAATAAGGCTAAAATCCATTATTAAGCAATTGATCTTTCATATGATTAAGGGAGAGAGTAGCTCTCACGGATCGACCTTCCGTACACCGCATCTGCACCCACAGATGCATGCAGGTCCTGGCGAAATAAGTACGATTCTTTAATACTGCCCGCGTGGTCCAAGCTCTCTCCCTCGCTAGCAGCCATCGCCGGAGCCCGGAGGACGATCGAGCATGCAATGCAACCGATCGATCGAATCGGCAAGCCATGCCATGCATGACGCCATGCCCCGCCAGCCAGCGACGGAGCTTGCATAAATGTGTAGGGGGGGGGGCAATTTAAAGGTACACTGCTACAGTATTACTAATAGTAGTATAATAGTAGTACAGACAATTGGAATTCTGTGGAAAATCTTTGTTTTTTCAAGTTCTATCTATATATACTGCAATAAACAATTGAAATTCTGTCAAAGAAAAATGAACAATGTACAAATTTACATATTTGTAAGCTGTGATCCACTAATCAGCAATAGCAAGTATGGTACAAGAGATACATGAATTAATTACATACATACAGCAACACGCAAACCAGTAGAGTGCAGCCGGAGAAGGGGGGCCAGGATCCAGTTTGGCCCGTGCCGCCAGCCTTGAATTCACAAGGGCCAAACAAACACCACCAAGACCCACGTCATAATTCATCATGCACTCAACTCTCTCTCTCACTCCATGTCTCCGGCCGGCATGGATGGATCGATCGCCGGCGATTCAATGCTGGGCACGTACACTGCTATGCATGCATGCATGCATGCGTCCTATCGACTAGTTAATTTACTCGCTGCTGCTGGGCACCCCTAGTATGCCTGCGATCCATGGATCCCCATGCTGTTTATAAGCCAAGCGAACGTGCTGGTGGCTACAGGATAGAGAGCGAGACCACCAAAAAGAAAAACGTCATTAATCATGGGACTGCAGGATCTGTGGCCTTCTCACTATCCATTGCGATCTGCTGGGACATGCTTGCATGCATGCATGCAGTGCTGCTGCTGCAATAAGTCTGAGCGGTTCTCCCCATCATATCCGCACTGCAGGATCTGTGGGCCTCCGATCCAATGCGATGTGCTCCACATTTCACATGCAATAAGTCTGAGCGCGTGTTCAGTTACACCCAAAATCCTAAAAAATGCTACAGTACTTGTCACATTGAATGTTTACGGCCTGTGCATGGAGCATTAAATGTAACAAAAAAAATTAATTACACAGTTTGGTGAGAAATTATGAGACGAACGTTTTAAGCCTAATTAGTCCATGTTTGAACACTAATTGCCAAATAAAAACGAACGTGCTACAGTAGCCCCAAATTTCAACTTCCTAGAAGTAAACACGCCCTAAGTAAAAACTTGCAATGGTTATGCATATACATATGGTTTCTACTCGATCTACCTAGCTCTGTCCGTCGTCACTTTTATTTATTTTCAAAATACTAGACATGGACCGTGTATCTAGCTGCATGATTGCATTGTCGAAAATTTGAAGTGATGCAAGATTCTGTCTGGGCCTGCATCCAACAGTGTAAATCTTGCTGATATGGAGCTAAGTCATCTCATCTGTTAATTGCTGGAGACAGTAAAACACAACAGGTAGTTTGGTAGTATTAGTACAACACACTACACCCCCTCATGCGGCACCTTGCAACAAGTAACAAAAAACTAGTAGAGAAAAAAAAAGGTGAAATAGCAGACACATCCCGCTTGAAATGGAAAGGTAGAAAGGCTTGCAATGGGTGCAGCTGCAGCTGCAGCTGCAGCGCAGTACAGGTGGAGGAGAGAGCCAGCCACTGCAAGGGGGCCTTCCCGGATGCATGGCTTTGCTATAGCCATGGAACCTTGCAACAAGAGGTAGCAGCTACCTTTGCTAGACCAGCACAGCCTGCTTCAGGCCTGCAGCTTGCTGCTAGCTACTGATGGAGTGTGATGGATAGATGGAATCCTTGCACCCTTTTCTCTCTCTTTCCCTCCTTGTTTCTCCTCCCACTTCATACCTTTTTTTGCTCTCTCACTCTCTCTCCTATTCTTTTTTACCTACACTGATACACACCAAGGACACCTTGCCAGAAGAACGTACTCCCGTGCTTGCTCGCTTTGCATCTCTGATGATCTCTCTACGGTCTACATGAAGTCCACCTCGAACAGGTTATGCATGTTGTTGCTGCTGCCACCGTTGCCGTTGCCGTTGCCGTTGTTGGTAGTGGTGGTGTTCTGGTCCGAGACCTCGCCGTTGGCCGACGGCAGCGCGCCGCTGGAGCACGACAGGATGTTGTAGTTGTTGTTACCGCCGCCGCCATTGTTGTGGCTGTTGTGAACCTGCAGAGAGGTTATGAAGTGTTGCTCCTGGTGGTGGCCGCCGGCCGCTTGGACCTGGAGCATGGTGCTCAGCTGCTGCTGCTGGTGGTCCTTGTCCTGCGACGCGCCGAGGTCAGCGTCGGCCTTGCCAGCTCCTTGTTGCCGGCCTGGTCCAGGCAGCTGATCACCCTGCTCGTGTTCGATGACATGGTTGACTTGGCCGTGCTCAGGTCTGCCCATCCATCACACACAAGTTGCATTGCAAGCCCAGGTCAGATCAGATATATAATTCCGGTACGGTGAAACATAAGCAAGGATCGATCCAGATATCATGTCAAGTCAAGGCAACAAGAGTGCTGATCGATCGAGTTATATTATTAATCGTAAGACGTACGGGACATGCATGAAAATTAAGCATGCAAGTATGCTTACTCTTGTTGTCAGTGGAGTAAGAGCTTGTGATGGAGCCGCCGTTGGGCTTCTTGTTGGCCGGCGGCGACGTGGCGTCCTTGGATGACGCGGTGGTGGCCGGCTTCCGGCGGCGGCGGTTGTGCTCGGCCAGCCGCTTCCGGCAGCTCCTCTTGACCTCGTCGAACTCCGACAGCACGTGAAACCTAGCCACACGCACCAATTCAACAGACAAAATATCAGTATAGCTAGGCGCCTTCTGTCGTCTACATGTATATTTGTTAGCTATACTATACGGCCTTGAAAAGCTTAAAGCTGGACGAACGCATCAAATACACTTTGCTGCAGTCGTATCGTATCACACTGAAGACTGAACTGAACTGGACTCGGTGAACGACTGGTCCACTAGCCGCATTGGTCAATGCAGGGATAAAGAGTAAAGCAGGCGCTGAGATACGCCCAGCCCTGGCCCGAGATACTGCACTGCATGCAGCCACTGCCAGTCTGCAGCTAAAGCAAGGGAGCTCAGCTAGATCAGCCACTACGCAGACGCAGCCTTTCCTTTGAGGCCATATTTAGATTGGAAAAAATTTCAAATCGATGAATAGTAACACTTTCGTCTTATTTGGTAAATATTGTCCAATCGTGGACCAACTAAGCTCAAAAGATTCATCTCGTGATTTCTAACTAAACTGTGCAATTAGTTATTTTTTTACCTACATTTAATGCTCCATGCAAACGGCTAAAAATTGATGGGATGGAGAGAGAGTGAAAAAACTTGGAATTTTGAGGGTATCTAAACAAGGCCTGAGATTCTTTCATGATTTTGTCCCCAGCAATCCCGAGACCAGAGAGATCGAGCAAGCAAACTGGAGAAAGAGGCCAGGAAAACAACGGCAGGATCCACGATCCTACAGTTTGCAACAACGCGACTACAACCGAGCTGATCGACCTGCTTTTGCATTGCTACTCCGTACACGCTTGCGTTTTTTTTTCAGTTGATGTTATGCTTGATCGAGCAACAGTCAACAAGCTTGGTGGGCGTGTCGTGTCTGTGGACTGTGGCTGTGCAAGTGAAGTTGCTTTTCGATACGCATCGCATGCATGGTGGCAGGAGCCTGCACTGCAGCCTTCCATGGCCGCAAGAGACAAGGAACACGAACCAAAAGCATCCATACCCGTCAGCGCTCCGAGCTCTGAAAAGCAGGCCGGGCAGGGAAAGGGAAGACCGGCTAGCGTCCGTCCAGCGTGGTGGAGAGGAGAGTTGTGTAGACGACCAGCAGCGGCTGGCTCTGTGGCTAGCCTTTGAGTAAAAAGGCAACCTCAACTACCGATGGTTCCGTACGCGCTATGCCTTTTCAGCTTGTTTGCAAGCTAGTCGGTGGCTAGCTTACCATGTCCGTCCGTGTCAATGGCTCTCGATGCAGGAATGAAGAGGCACTGTACTGTACGTGCTGTGTGCATGTGTGCTAGCGCCGCTACCTAGAGTGAGCTACAATGAGAGGTCTAGGGCCTAGTAGCTAGGGAGAGAGAGAGGGGAAGAGATCGACGAGGGCTATGGCGGCGACGACGTAGGAGGTATACACGTACCTGCTGCATTGCTGGCAGAAGCGCTGCTGCTTGCCACCGGCGGCGACGACGGAGGCCTTGGCGTGGTACTCGCAGACCTTGTGGCGGCGGTGGTAGTGCTTGGCGCCGGAGAGGTCGGCCTTGCAGCCCTCGGCCTGGCAGCGCGGGGGCTGGTGGTGCGCGCCGCCGAAGCCGAGCCCGAACACGCCGCCGAGGCGGGACCGCATCAGGAACCGGTCCACGGCCAGCATGTCCCCGGGGGAGAAGTAGGTGCGGCGGCCGAGGTTGAGCCCGATCCTCCCGGCGGCGCTGTCCGCGCCGCCGCCGCCCTCGCGCTTCACCATCCCGAGCGCCGGGTACACGTGGTCGCCGGGCATCCCGGGCATCTGCATCGGCATCGGCAGCGGCGGCGGCGCCATGGGGCCGAGGCTGGACGGCAGCGTCAGCAGCTGGTGGTGGTGGTGGGGCGCCTCCTGCTGGAACTGCAGCGCCGCGGCGAAGTCGAACCCATCGTAGAGGTGGTGCTGCTGCACCTGCACACCTCCGGCGCTGCGTTGGACGCCGCCGCCGCCCGCCACGCCGTGCTCGAACCCGACGTAGGGCGGCGGCGGAGGAGGAGGCGGCTGCTGATGCTGCTGCTGCATGGGCGCGAAGGGGAAGTCGTCGCCCGGCGAGGCGGACGTGGCCACGTTCAGCCTCCCGCTCAACATCTCCTTCGTGCCGGCCGTTTGCCGCCGCTCAAGCTAGCCCGTGAGTGGAGCGAGATGGAGCACGCGGCCGGGTGGATCGGGAGGACGATCGAGCTGAGCTAGCTGCTGCTGGAGCTGGAGGCAGTGGTTGAGTGAGGAGTGTGAGATGACCGAGTGGAGGGAGGCTGCTGCTGCAGGGGTGGTTAAAAAGCCTGTGGGGGGAGGAGAGAGAGAGAGTGCTCCATCGTGTCGTGTGTGTCCGTTGGTCAGTATTAAAACTCTTGGCGTGTTGCTTGTCCGCTAGTGGCATGGCTCTGCCACTCTGGGCGACGCCTCATCAGGCCCCTTGCTGTTTCGGTGCTACAAGTCATGCCATGGTTGTTTTGGAGAGAGAAACACACACAGCGACGGGAAGAGGTGCGTGACAAAAACTCCTCATTTCGCCTACCTATTTTCCTTGAATTTGTATTTTCAGGCAACCATGGTATAAAATGCAGTGTTTCCAGGAAACCATTACAACCCTGTTTAGCGTAGCTCCTCATCGGCTTCGAAAGTCATTTAACAATGTTTTTTTTTTTCCAAACAGGGTAAAATAAAGCAGCTCCATCTAAGGACTTCCTTAAACGCGCTCTCACAGAGAATGAATGAGAGATGGAGCTGAAAATAGTATCTTCACCTAGCTCTGTGTGAGATTCTGTGAAAGCATGTTTTAAGAAGATTCACACGTAGAACTGTTTTATCAAACTTCACCAGAACAACTCTAGCTTCAGCAGTAGAGCTCGTTGACCCGAAGCTAAAAAAAAAACTTCACTAGCAAAATGGAGTTGTGCCAAATGAAGCCTATATAGGATTGCAGGAAGAGAAAGACATACAAATGCAGGCCTTGTTCGACTGGCTGGTGGCTGGCTGGCTGGCTGGCCAGCCCACTCATGAAATCACTGTTCACGTGCACAGTGTTTCTAGACAGAACAATATTTTTCTCTCGTAACAATCAGCCGGAACAGTATTTTTGCTTATTTTTTAGTCCTGCCGAACAGGCCCGCGGTGTCCCTGCATTTAGACCTGAGCAAATCGAGGCCCGTCTGAGCCTGACGGGTTTTGGCCCACCCACAAGCCTGACTGGACAAGGCCTGGGCACAGATACCGCTGCCCAGAAAAAAATTTCTTGGCCCGAGCCCAGCCCGAAGTACTAATTTTAGCTATTTTACACTATAAAATGCACGGATGGCCCGCCCAGGCTTGAGCCTAGCCCGAAAAAACAGGCCCAATTCTCCCAGTGGGAGGCTTATGGGTGGGACTTTCGGCCCAAAATAATCGGGATTTTTTTTCTGACCTAGCCTGCAAAAAGGCGCAGGTCTACATGTGTTCTCTGAAGAACAAATATACACGAGATAGGATACCATGGCTTTCCTTTTTCCACATTTCTTCCTGCAGCATGCATGACAAAACATTTTTACCGTGGCAATCCTGCTTTGCCACGTGCTGCTGCCTCATGAGTGGTGAAAGATTGTGTATGTAGTTAGCCTCTGTCATGTAGTCCCCGGGCGGGCCGGGATCAGAAAGTTTGCTATGTATACTTACGTGTATACAGGGGTAACGTAACAGTAAAGACTAGTACTCCCTCCATCCTAAATTATAAGACGATTGACTATTTTTTGACTTCAAATTTGACCACTCGTCTTATTTAAAAATTTTGTATAAGCATAGTCAAATTTAATTCATTCTTGAAAAATTTTTATTAATAAAGCAAGTCACAACAAAAACTCCGTCTATGGTGGGGCGCCTTTGGTGTCCCAGCATAGCAGGTCCCAAGCCCTGGTAAAGGAGGAGGGTTGTGTTAGGCGTGGCGAGCCAATGTAAAAACTTAGCCACTTTAATGGAGCTGAAACCCGAAAGAAAATCGTTGGGGCGTAACTCTCTTAGCGACACACCATATCGGAACCCGGGTATGGTGTTAAATGGGCAAGAGCCGGGTCGTCACCCTCGTGATGCGCCGTGTCGTGATTTGGGCATGGTGTCAAGTGAGCAAGGATCGGGTCGTCGCTTCCTTAGTGGCGCGCTACATCGGCGTCCGGGTGTAGTGAAAAATGAGCAAGGGTCTTCGCATCTAAGTCGACGGGTGTGAAAGGTAAGGAAGCTAGTCGAACCAACTAGGATCCGTTTAGTTAGTTGGAATGTAGGGTCACTTACAGGTAAGTTAAGAGAATTAGTTGATACCGCGACTAGGAGGCGTGTAAATATATTATGCGTTCAAGAGACTAAATGGAAGGGTCAGAAGGCGAAGGAGGTGGACAATACAAGTTTCAAGCTTTGGTACACAGGGACAGTCGTGAATAGAAATGGAGTAGGAGTTTTGATTGATAAGAGCCTTAAGAATGGTGTGGTGGGAGTGAGAAGGCAAGGAGATAGGATTATCTTAGTCAAGCTTGTCGTTGGTGATATGGTCTTGAACGTAATTAGTGCGTATGCCCCCAAGTAGGCCTCGACGAGAGTGCTAAGAGACAGTTCTGGGAAGACTTAGATGGCCTGGTTAGAGCTATACCTAGTAGTGAGAAGCTTTTTATAGGATGCGATCTTAATGGGCATGTAGGTACTGCAAGCGCAGGTTTCGAGGTAGTTCATGGAGGTTTTGGGTATGGTAGTAGGAATCAGGAGGGGGAGGAAGTTCTGGACTTCGTGGTAGCTTTTGACCTGATGATAGCCAACACTTTCTTTAGAAAGAGAGAATCTCATCTAGTGACCTTCAGTAGCGGACAACACTGTAGCCAGATTGACTTTGTCCTCGCAAGAAGAAAGAATAAACGAGCATGTTTGGATTGCAAGGTAAGATTGAAAGAACAAAGTGGTGAAAACTGAAAAGGGAGACGTCAGAGGTATTCAGGGAAAGGGTTATCAAAGAGGGCTCTTGGAAGGAAGAAGACGACATAAACAACATGTGGGAGAAGATGGCAACCAACATTCGGAAGGTGGCCTCAGAGGTGTATGGAGTAACCAAAGGAAGTGGAGGCGAGGCTAGAGATACTTAGTGGTGGAACGAGGAAGTCCAAAGGGCTATTAAGGAGAAGAAAGAATGTTATAGACGCTTGTACCATGACAGGAGTGTGGACAACATAGAGAAGTACAAGGTGACAAAGAAGACTGCAAAGCAAGCTGTAAGTATGGCAAAGGGTAGAGCGTACGAGGATCTTTACCAACATTTGAGTACGAAGGAAGGAGAGAAGGACATTTATAGGATGGGTAGGGTTCGTGAGAAAAAGACACGGGATTTCAACCAAGTTAAGTGCATTAAGGATGAAAGGGGGCATCTCTTGGTGAAGGAGGATGAGATCCGACATCGATGGCAAGAGTATTTTGATAAATTGTTCAATGGTGAGAGTATGGACACAACCTTTCAGTTGGATGACTCTTTTGATGACACCAATAGGCGCTTTGTGCGGAGAATCCAAGAATCTGAGGTCAGAGAGGCGTTGAAAAGGATGAAAGGAGGTAAGGCGATGGGAGCGGATGGTATCCCAATCGAGGTGTAGAGATGCCTCGGGGACATAGCTATAGTATGGCTAACCAAGCTGTTCAACCATATTTTTCGATCGAACAAGATGCTTAACGAGTGGAGGAGAAGTATATTGGTACCGATCTACAAGAATAAAGGAGATATTCAAAGTTGTACTAATTACCGAGGAATTAAGTTGATGAGCCATACTATGAAGCTATGTGAGAGAGTTATCGAGCATCGCTTGAGAGCAATAACGCGAGTCTCTATAAACTAATTTGGTTTCATGCCCGGAAGGTCAACCATGGAAGCCATTTTCTTAATAAGACAAGTTATGGAGCGGTATAGGAAGAAGAAGAAGGATCCACACAAAGTTTTTATTGACTTGGAGAAGGCTTATGATAAAATACCAAGGAATGTTATGTGGTGGGCTTTGGACAAACATAAAGTCCCAACGAAGTATATCGGGCTCATTAAGGACATGTACAACAATGTTGTGACTAGAGTTCGAACAAGTGATGGAGACACGGATGACTTCCCGATTAGGATAGGACTACATCAAGGGTCAGCTTTCAGCCCTTATTTGTTTGCTTTAGTGATGGATGAGGTCACAAGGGACATAAAGGGGACATCCCTTGGTGTATGCTTTTCGCGGACGATGTAGTGCTAGTTGATGAAAGCCGGACAGGAGTGAATCAGAAACTGGAGTTATGGCGGGAGACTTTGGAGTCCAAAGGTTTTAGACTCAGTAGAACTAAAACTGAGCGTATAAGATGTGACTTCGGCACTACTACTCGGGAGGAGGAAGATGTTTGTTTGGAAGGTCAAGTAGTGCCTAGGAAGGATACCTTTCGATATTTATGATCAATGCTACAGAGGGACGGGGATATTGATGAAGATGGTAGCCATAGAATCAAAGCAGGGTGGATGAAGTGGCGGCAAGCGTTTGGTGTCCTATGTGACAAAAGGGTACCACAGAAGTTAAAAGACAAGTTTTATAGGACGACGATTAGACCTGCTATGTTGTATGGTGCAGAATGTTGGCCTACGAAAAGACGACATGTTCAACAGCTAAGTGTCGCGGAAATGCGTATATTGCGTTGGATTTGCGGTCATACAAGAAGGGATCGAGTTCGGAACGATGATATACGTGATAGATTAGGGGTAGCGTCAATTGAAGAAAAGCTTGTCCAACACCGGTTGAGATGGTTTGGACATGTGCAACGGAGACCTCCAGAGGCACCGGTGCGTAGTAGAATCCTAAGCCAGGATAGTAACGTGAAGAGAGACAGAGGAAGACCGAAGTTAACTTGGGTAGAGGCAATAAAAGGAGACTTAAAATGATAGAATATACCCAAAGATTTAGCCTTAGATAGGAGTGCTTGAAAGACAGCTATTCACGTGCCTGAACCTTGATTGCTTCTGATGGGTTTCAACTCTAGCCTATCCCAACTTGTTTGGGACTTAAAGGCTTTGTTGTTGTTGTTGAAAGCAAGTCACAACAAAAGAAGTTATATTTTACACGAATTTT